CATACTGAAGCGTGCGTTACGCCCGGTCTTATACCCGGCTGATTGCTAATCAATCACTCACGCCTGCAAATCAATTTGCCCGTTAAACAATTCGGTCCAATCTCCCATGGAGATCAGCTCCCATTCAGTCGGTCATCGACTAAACGTCTCCGTTCCCTATTCAGGGAACGTGGGGTTACGCAAGTAACCTAGACGTTTTTCTTAGAATTCTCATTTAAATATTTGAAAATGGTTGATGTAAGGGACTTGTTATTCATCTACTTCTAAACATTCTAAACAATTGAAACAATATTCTGTATCAGCTTTAGAAATGGAGTCAATATGTAAAAAAGAAATGAAATCAATATTTGGTGTGACCACCTTTTACCAGTCTTTCCCATATCCTGAGTCATAATCCTCCCAGACAGACTTCCTGTTTGTTGAAGTTCTGAATGACTTTGGGTGTGTGGTTGGTGCCACTGTCCTGCTGCAAAATAAATTTGAGGCCAACAGTACGCCTCCCTGAAGGTATTGCATGATAAGTATCTGCCTATATTTCTCATCTTTGAGAACAGCATTAATCCTGACGACATCTTCAACTCCATTTTTTAGAAATGCAGCCCCACACATTCAAGTAACTACCACCGTGCTTCACTGTTGTCTGCAGAACTTCATTATACCATTCTCCAGCTCTTCGACTGAAGACAACAAAACTGCCTTCATAACACCAAATATTGATTTGATTCAGTTTGTTGTTTGTTCACTCACAAAGAATATTGTTAATTTACAAAAATAAACATTTATAATTTGGATAAAAATTTAGGTAGTATGGATCAATGACTATTTTTCAAATGCATACAAATTAAGTTTTACCTTTTATAAAGGTATTTTTGCATACTGTATGATTTTAAATGAAGAACATATTGGAAGTTGATGACCACTTTGCTATGACGTCTCATAGACTCAAAATCTGAGTTTCCAAAACAACCAAACTGCGCAGTCAAGTATTGTATAAAACTTTGAAAATACAATAAAATATACACCAAACATTAGCTATTCGACATTAAGTGAAGATCACAGTGTGGGCACGTGCCAGGAGCCACGTAGAGCGTCTGTGAAGAGAATAAACATCACTAAATGAACCCCAAGGGCTGAATAACATCCATTCATTGCAGATCAAACCTTCTTCCTCTCCTTCCTGACTGTAGACTTCCCCTGGGCTTCATAGCCATCAAAAGCCTCTTGATGCTCATTCTTTGATCAATTATTTCACTTAATGGAATAAAGACACGAACCATTATTAGATTTAAGCTATCCATTGCCTGAGCATCATTTACACACACATGTGGTAGTTGGTTCTAGTTGCTTCCTAAATCAAGCTGACCCAAGACTTCCTTACAAAATCAGTGGCTTCAAAAACATATATATTAAAGGGGTTATGAACTTGACAGTGGTTTGCATTTGTATGTCCTCTCCAATGTTAAACAAAAAGGTAATGTAAGAGCCACATATCTGGGTAATTATAAAGAAATATAAGCATGTCGAAAATCTTGTGAAAGTAACTTTCTTTGGTGGATCTTTGTTCATTTTAGAATTACTATGTGGTTACTGTACATTCCCTTCGTAAGCCTGGTAGCATTAAGGCCGTTCATGCTTTATTTTACACCATTTTAATTGTGCTGACGTATATACGAGCGCGGTTGAGGAAGAGAGAGCGAGGGTAACATTAGCATTTTGTGTGTGTGTGCTTCTGAAAACCAACATCATTCCGCCAGCACAATCTTTGTCAGTTGGCAGTTCTCTGTATGGCAACAACCACTTTAGGTTAATGGAGTTTCTTGCATAAAAATTGCAACAAAATGAAGAAAATAAAAATAGGTGCATTGGCTCGCTAGCTCTTCTAAACAAATTTGCAATAAATTGAAGATGTAAACTGATGTGTTCTTCCAAACACTGGTTTGCTCTTTTAAACAAATTTTAAATAAAATGAACATGAAAAACTGGTAGGCTCTTCCAAACACTGGCTTGCTCTTTGATACCAACTCTTTGTTGAAAACAGGCACTGAATGTAGGTAAAACAGATGTTTCGTAGCGTTAGCAGCTCGATCTGAGCTTCTTCTTTGATCCACAGTTTGATTACAAATGTGCTCTGTATAGAACATTATTACCAGGAGAGGGTCCAGTGTCAGCAAATGAAGTGAGTGTTAAGCCATGTTTTTAATAAAACAAACATTTTGAGTACAGAAACATTTGATATAGTTCCATCAAAAGCAATTTGTAGTTTCTTTGTTCATTACCCCTTTAAAACCTTGTGACCCCAAAAACAGATTTCCGTGATGAGTCTAAGAGTCTATGAGTCTATAAATATATTTGACCAGGAGCAGAACTGAGCAGTAAACAAACAGGTAATGTGATTCATCTCACCAAAGAAACTAATGTTCCTTTGCAGCCAGAGCTAAAAATAAGATCCTCATTGAAATCCTATGAGCTCTGCGTCTTGAAGGGGGTCTAATGCATTTTCATTTAAACTAAACTCAGATTATATTAGGAATGACTCCATTCATCTTCATTTCCTGGAGGCCAAAGCTGACAACGTGGAGCACATTCTACTCGTCCTCTTTAAACACGTTTAGATTGAAAACTCTGGGGCAAAGTTCCATAGATACTTTCTCATAAAATTTTCAAAACTTTTATTAAAAAAATACAAGTAAAGTCTGCCTTACCTTGAAGTTGCATATACATGTAATTATGTCCCCGATTCTGAGACACTCGCCATCAAACTTGCAAGTGTTAGTGTCGCAGAGGAAGAGATCTGTGTCCCGTTCATCATCTCCTGCAACAACAACGAAAAAAAAAAATGTCATGAGCTTCTGGAGAAACACAGCAGTGTTATGAACATACAGGAAGATCTATTTCAGACACATAGGATCAAAAACATAATTCAGAGGAACAAACATAGCATCCTGTACAATAGCTGCCAGCCTCCTGAAAGCTTCATGATTGTATTCTGCTCTTGAGACATATTTAATTGGGAGGAATTCAATTTTTCATAAAGGAAGCATGTTTCAGCACATAGAGTGATTTTATGTGAAGAGCCTGTTCTCTCTATAATACGATAATCCAAGAAATCGGACATATTACGAAAACCCCAACTTCAACAAAAAGTCCAAAATGTTTCTTAGTATGAAGAGTTGGATTCCCAGAGTTAGCATTAATGTACGCTTCACTTTTGGCATTATTTTCTTAAAGCCTGATAACCAGCAGCTCTAATTTAATGTAAAATGCAACAAATCCATTCAACCAGTGTGCTCTTCCTATCTGTTAATATAGACTAGAAGCCCAAAGATAAATAAAAAATCATGGGGCTGAAAAGTAACCTTCAGTGTCTTTTTTTAGTGATTGTTAAATCTGCGGGGTGGAAGAGAAAGCCATCCAAAGACAACCACAATAGGAAT